CCCAGTGAAAAACAAGGTCATCTTTTTTCAGGGGTTTTGTGAGCCTACCCTAATTTTGTTTTTTAATTGGGAAACCATTGTGAATGTCAATAAAGTGATATAGAACCAGATTAGTTAATAAAAGCTGAAATAATGAAACACTTCCTCGTATGGATTCCAGAAAACTAAAGATAAATCGTTGAATACTAAATTTCACCAGTACTGAGGTCAACCTTGACCTTACAAAACCTGACTTTACCTTGACATTTGGAGTATCAAACTTGATTTTTTTTGGTCGTGCACTTATAACTCCTTGACCAATAGTATGCGTGTACTACTTCACAAAGTGCACACTCACGGTCACCCAAAATTAGAGCACACCAAAATTGCCGGCAAAGTGTGCTATGACCTCGATCATGTTTCAAATTGTCATTGCTGAATGAAGCCGACTTGCCATGGGCTCAGTTCAGTTTGGTTAAAATTTGGCTCAAAATTTACCATACACATACAGTCTGACTAAAGTTTATGGATTTCATACACAAACAGTAAATGGTAATTTGTGACCGCTTTTCGAAAGAAAACACCGCATGCACGTACTGGTTCAAGCATTTTGCACAAATTACGCCATTGACACAGTTTGTTTTGTTGTCGCAAAAATTGGCCTAAAGTTTACCATATACAATGTACCGGTAATGTATACAGTCTGATTAAAGTTTATGGATTACATATTTACACAGACAGTAAATGGCACTTTGTGACCACTTTCGACAGAAAATGCCGCATGCATGCTTACGTACGTGTTTACGCATACATGTATATCGCACAAATTCCGCATGGCTTATTTTTTTTTACAATCTGCACAAACCCAACGCATCTCTGCGTGAGCATCAGGCATCAGCATTGCATTCGAATAAAGTGGTTTTGGTATCCCCTAACTCTCCCTTAGTAACCATGGAGGGGGTACTTGAACACAGAGGATGAACGTGGATGTACATTCATGTACCGGTACATTCATGTTATTACTGCATTCTCAATGAGGCCCCCTTTAATGGAGAAACCAAGCAACTGCCCCATGACGGATTATCTGAACAGTAGCCAGGATAATTTGCCTTTGCCATTGAAAGGTGCCTTCGTGATAGAATTGTTAGTGTGTCCAGATTCGTCTATAGTCTACATAACAATGACATCATCCACTTTTGATGCTTCAGAGTTACGTACAGTGTATGTGTTATGGTTGTTGCTGTTCCATTGTTGGGGGAGGGGAGTAGAAAAACCAGGCCAAATGTGTCCGATTGTTTCGCTCGTAACCCCCGCCCTGCAAACAGGGCGCTGCGAAGGGCTGATGAGCTAAAACAGAATCTTGTGAAGGAAGTAACCTTCGCATGCATTGCATGCAGCTAGCTCGCAACCTCATCCCAAGTGCTTACTTTATTTCCAACCTCGTTTCCAACAGTAAGGTTATGGTGGGCGCGTACTGCTCCACACCCTGGGGACGAGGTTGGCTAGCACGCGCTACATTTGACAAACAGCTGCAGCGAAATCTATCCAATGAGAGCTCAAAGAGATTAGCCTTTCCCAGCGTCCTGTTGGGGGGGGGGGGGTGGTTACGAGTAAATCCGCTTGTTAGCCCAATTGGTTCAACTTTCACGATTGGTTTTATCAAAGGGTTCATGTCTGTAACCAGACACTTCAGCCTTTAGGCTGTAACCTGAGATGTCTGCAAACTTGTACATAATGCCCCAACCTGAAAAGTCGGCTGCTTCTGTTAGAGAATCACATTTCGTACTTTCCCTTCTTCTCTCAATCTCATCCATCTGTAAGTCCGTCCTCCCTTCTACCGTCTTCCGTCATTGTTCCTTTCCTCCAGCCTCGTTAAGGCAACTCTGAAGGATGCTCATTTAGCTCTTGACGTCCTTGAACCCTACCATGAACCCATTATGAGTAATAAGGTCGATGGGGAAAAAAAAACCAGCGAGAGACAGACTTGTTGTTACCCTTGCAGCCTTGGCCCAACTGTTTCTACAACTGTTGCGATCCGTCCGGCATAGAATTGCAAGCCTTTTCTTGATTTTAGAGGTCATTGGGGACGGAAAGTGCACCCCCCAAAATTTTGGCCAAGTATTACTCACGTGCCCTTTGGAACATTCTTTTTTTTAGTATCAGCACTGTGTTGTTGAACTAATTCCCAGTGTACAGGCGTGCCATCTCAGAATCTATTATCGTCATTTTATAGCATACATGTCACTCCGATTTTAAGTCAAGGTCGTCAAATTTCCGTTTGGTAAATTGAAACTATGTGGTCGTGAGTGTGACAGTTTTGCCAAGATTTGCCAGATTTCCTCCTTTATTTCAGTCGCATTTGTTACGTGTTAGGGTACCTCTGCTTCAAACTTTGAGCAACGAAATTTTGTGCCGTTACGGAGAAATCCCTTCAGGCTAAAAGAATTCCAAATCAAGGCTTAAATTTGTTTTTAATAAAGTCCCTGAAAAATTGCAAACAAGCATCCCTACCCCAAATGTTTACATCTAATGCTGCGGCAGGGACCGCATTATGTGGAACATTTGTTTTGTGAGGAAAATTTGGAATTGAGTTGTTGGGAATTTTCTTGTATATATGTAAATCTGGCGAACAAACTTAGAAGCGATTTTTGAGGTGGTGCCGCACTCGTGTGTACGCTGCGCATGTTCTTAAAGATGAGATGTGCGCACATTTTGGTGACGCTATTGGTCGAAGGAGCCTGGAGTGCATGCGTACTACCTGAGCGCAACTCACGCGAGCCCGGTGCCACTGTTACCTAAGAAAATGGCTGTGGCTGAATTAGTGAATATATTTACATTGTTTTTTTGGCCCGAAAACAAATATTTAACTTGTGTATGTTCACCAAAATCACCAAAAATCCAGAAAAAAAGGAATATGAGTTCAGCATACATGTACCTCTTTTGTATGATACAAATTTGCTGATGATAACAGTCTTCAAATGAGGTTTTGCCCTTCACCGACGTTTAAATGCTGTATACTCAGTGTGTTACCTCCCAAGTGAAAGTTGGAAAAAATCACTCGGGTGGGACTCGAACCCACGACCTCCTGCTTTCTAGTGCAGATGTTTTATCACTCGACCACCGAGCTAATGGGATCAGTTGGCTGGTTCGAATCCGATGTACATAGCAGCGGATACCGCATAAACTAACGACCCCAATCGCGGACGTATGCTGGGAATCGTGGACGATATTTTTCTCTTTTGTTCTCTGGTATTTTTCATCCACGGTTTGAAAAGATGAACACGTACACGCATACATGTACACGCCCATAAAAAATAGTGTTTTTTTTCCTAGAGTTAGAACATGCAATTTATGTGGAATATGCATTGTGTAGAAATCCCCTCTTATTCCTTGTCAGGCTTAATCTGCTCAAGTAAGACATCTCTTGGCAAATTTGGGCTTTAATTGGAGGGAACCCGCTCCCCCCTCAACCCAGCTAAACCGTTTGCGAGTTGCAGATAGGGTCAAATTGTTAGTGGCATTCGTTAGCGGTCTGGGGGCTTAGTGGGGCCCTTACGTGCATACTCAGTGTTAATCATAGCGGTGTGTATGACTCTAATAATGAATTGGTTCCTGTTACATTTTAGAAGTTTGTTGGGGGGAGCTGTCTTGCCGTGGAATTATGCGCATGTCATGCTGGATATGCACCCAAGGTCCTTCCAATTTTCAGAATTTCTTTAATAGTTATTTCCCTTGTTCTGCTTTTGCAAAACAAATCTGCAAAAAAAGTTAGTCCTCATGTTTGGTTGTTGTTAGATACATGTACAAGAAGATGTACGTTGCGTTGCATTGTAAATATTATATTCCACCTTTCAGTGCATTGCATGCCGCCTTCTACCTCTGTGGGCGAGGTTCGAGCCTCATCCAGGCTGACATTCACTGGCAGATCAGGGGTTGGGGTGGTGGTGGGGGGGGGGGGGGGGAATGGGGGTACTGGGCAGTGGCCTTTCCTCCTCTGAACAAGTGTCAATTTAAACCAAAACAAAATTAAGTTACCAGAAGAGAATTGAAAGACGACTGTTTATTGCCTTTCCCTCTACAGATTCCAGAAATGTTACTAGAAAGAAAGAAAAATGAAAAGGTCCACCCCCTTGTGTTAAATGAGGGCAAATAGTACCTCCCCATTCCCCTCTTGAAAATTTGGTCCTGGATCTGTTTGTTGTATAGATGGGTTTTCAGTCCTGCCCGTTTTTATGGGTGTTTTTTTTCTGGTTTATGTTCGCAGGGTTTTCCTTCCACCATTTAAGGTAGATTAGATCATTTGCAGCTATCCAAATAGTAACTGACAAAATTATTGTTGAAAATCGTACTTGGTCTAAAGATAGTAATGGCACGAAACTCCCTGTGAAATTATTCTATCTGGCATGCTGTCATTTTGAAGAAAACAATAAAAGAAGGCAATTTCCAAAGATGCGTCAAGTGACTTTAGTAGTTGGTTTGTAATTCGGCGAATCTGTGAATGGGTGCGTGCAAGTGTTGACACGACGCACATGCTATTATTCGTTGGTTCTGTGCGTTACATCGTGTAGCTGCAATCAGCTGAAGGAGAACATATCCGGGACGCTGATTTCGGGTGCAATTCAAAACATGTCTCTGCAACTTTTGAATTGCAATCTAGAGATCCTAGAATATTGTTTACTTGGAATATATACAGCATTCGCAGAGCTAAAACTTCTTTAGTTGTTAAGCACCCGTATAGATTTTGAGCACTTTTGTTGCTTCAAACCCAAAAAAATGCACAAATGAGAAATGATCCATCTACCTGAACATTTGTCATTGTCTTAATTCTCCCTCTAGGTATTTTCAGGCTTCAGGACTGCAGTGCTTGTGCACTTTGGAAGAATTCTTGTTTTCATTTAATACCAGAAAGAATTTAAAATGAAAAGAAATAAAAAAAAAATGAAATTTAAAGTCGTGTTATCCACCTTCTTATGATGACTTGTTTCCCAACCTGTCTCCCGCCACCCATTTTACCTGACCAGGTACATGAGCTGTGCGATAACTTCTGCCATCGGTACATCAACTGTCTCAAAGGGAAGATGCCCATTGATTTGGTGATTGAGGACCGGGAAGGCGGAATGAACGGAGGCAAGACGGGGCTAGGAGAGAACCACACAGATTCTAGAAGTGAAACGGTAATATTTTTGTTGTTGTTGGCTATTTCCTGATTGCTTCAACCCTAAGCCTCCTCAGTCCTCCAAAATCCTTCAGGCGGTTTTGGAAGAATTTGGGGGGTTGAGGGCTAGGAGAGAACCACACAGATTCTAGAAGTGAAACGGTAAGATATTTGTTGTTGTTGGCTATTTCCTGATTGCTTCAACCCTAACCCTCCTCAATCCTACAAAATCCTTCTGGTGGTTTGGAGGATTTTTGGGGATTGACAATGAATGGTGTTTGAGAAACACAAGGATTTTGGAGGATTGAGGATGAATGTTGTTGAATCACATGAGGATTTTGGATGATTGAGGATGAATGGTGTTTGAAAAAAGGAGGATTCTGGAGGATTGAGGATGAATGGTGTTGAATCACATGAGGATTTTGGATGATTGAGGATGAATGGTGTTTGAAAAAGAGGAGGGTTTTGGAGGATTGAGGACGAATGCATTTTGAGAGGCAGGACTGTTTGATGATTTTGAAGGATTGAGGCGCTGGGTGTCCTTCATTTGAACATAAGTGCAAAATTTTGAAGGATTTTGGAGGATTTTGAATGGTTCCTAGGGGGTTAGGGCCTAGGGGGTTATGGTTGAAGGCATACATATGGGATCACTAGCGTTTGTCTCAAAAGTAACCTGCCAAATTCTCAAAAAGTTTAAGATTAAAGATTCTACTAGTACTAAACACCCTGGCTTGATGTCAATAAGAAGAAATCAAGAAATGTAGGTGATTTTCAACGATCAGTCAATTGACTGATTTTTAGAACAAAGAGTGCTATTGACGAAAATCATGTTTTTGTGATCAAAAGGTTGTCCATGGTTTTTCACTGTTTTTCTTGAAAATGTGTAATTACCACTGAGCTGAAACTTCATCAGGTCAACTTTTGAACATTCTTCTTTAGATTTTAAGGTGTGTTATTGCAATCAAACAAAATTGCGTAAAAATCTGGTAATCGTTTTCAGTAGCAAATAACACAGTACCCTATTGCCCAAATTTTATATTCATAATTTTCGTAATTTTTATATATATTTAAAAATTTGTTTGGTGATTGGGTTCCAGACAGGGTCGGCAGTAATTTAAAAAAAAAAGGTGTTTTTTCTTGGGTTGGGAGCCCAAAATAGGATCGGTCGGAAATGAGAGCTAAGGAAATAAAAAGGGACGCCCTAACTTACACAGAAGAGTACCTGATAAAAATCCCCACTGATTCAGTTTTCATTGCACACTGAAGACAAATATCAACAATGATGCTTCAATGTTTCCTGAGGTGTTCAGTTATTGCAAACACGAAGATCGAAAGTAACACAATTAAACACTGGTATAGAATCAGAAATATTTACGTTTATTGTCAAATAATTGCATATTGTTCTAAATATTTAAAACAGTGAGCTCAAGTACATGTATGTTTGTATGCTCATACAAAATGTACATGTACTTTTGTTAAATTAAGTGAAAGGCAGCAAATTTCACCTTTTTTCCCTATAAATACATTTCACACCAAAAAACCCCCTCTTTTTTCTCCCTTTTGGGACATCTTCAAACATTTTACACCAAAACCCCTTTTTTCCCATTTTTTTGGGGACATCTTCAAACCTCTGAAATGTTTGTTTTGTTTTGGTTACAAACATATCCGTTTTGTGAGCAGACTGGCTGCCGGTCCGTACACTACCGATACTGATTGTGAGGCAGGAACCAGCCTACCCCGCGAGAACAGGAGTTACTGTCTGGCAGCCAATAATTCGAAAATTGTAAAGTACATGCGTCGATTTTCATTGGTCGATTTCACATTCGAAAGTAAAGAACTTGTAAGATAGCAATTCAGAAAAGGAATCATCAATTTAGAAGGAGAATGCATCTTTAATCAGAACACTGCAAAATAGACAAAAGAGATACAAAAAAAAATTGTGTATATTTTCCCTGCAGTTGTGAACACAGATAATAGCGAAATGCCGCTTCGCAAATAAAAATGTGTTGAATTTGAAGAGTGAAAATGACAGAATATGTTTGGATTGGATAACCCAAATAAATAACGCACTGTGAACTTTGAACAAAAAAATCCATGTGAACTCGGCAGGTGTATGCAGAGGCTTACCGCGTACAGAGCTGTGAATAATTATTTTGTAAGGGTAATTACGAAACTCCCCCCGAAACGTGTCCAATGGATAATTACCATCTTACCGGCATTCATGAATTGCCATTTATTTTCTCTTAATTGATATTAATGCCCACATTTAATTGGTTAATGAGTTTCTCTCTCGCCTGTGTAATTCAATTTCCCGGCCTGTACTTTGTTCTTTCAATAAATGGCTGCCCAATTTCCGCCGGGGGATGAAAAAGTACAGTACACTTATCGTTTAAATCAAAATTGATTTTAATATTTCAAAAAATAAAGAGTAGCCTGAGGTTTTTTTCTAATGTTACAAATTTCACAGATTTGTTAAGATTTGTCCTGCACCATTTAAAATAGACAGAGATTACCTCAATAACATACAATTTTTTTTTTTTTAATTTGAACCATGTGACATGCAGGTTGCGTAAATATTATGAGCATAATTTCGGGACAAAAACATTGGGATTGCTAACTTGATTTTCAAATTGGGCTCCGCAATAATTACTCTAAACGTGACAGATGATCACCGCACGTCTTTTTTAAAATTAACTCCGGATGATAATGCTCAATTTTGCACAGTGTGCGCATCAGCGGTAACCACGGTAATGGAAGCACTAGCACCTCCCATGACTCATTCCATTATCAATGCTTTTGATTAAAATCGAACGGACGGGTTGGCCAATTACAGAAGCGGCGAGGTTCTGTGGTAATACATCCCAAATCAGGCATTAATACTTTGTTCGGTAACAAAAAGTATAACCGCCCCAAAAAGCAATATCATTGTATTGTATGAGAAAAGCATTATACACACTTTACAACACTTGTCATCCCAAACATCCGAAATCAGGCATTAATACTTTGTTCGGTAACGAAAATTAAGACCGCCCCAAAAAGCAATATCATTGTATTGTATGAGAAAAGTATTATACACACTGTACAACACTTGTCGTAGTTTCTGAATACATAGACCTAATTCCTGTGTGCCATGCTCGGATGTACATGCACGAATTCAGATAAGCTTTTATAGGATTTAAGCACAAATGAACGTGATGTTTCAATGTGAATGGCAAATAAAGATTGATTAATCAAAGAATCAACATTAAAATTCAATTGCCATATTGTACCTAATCCCAGCACCCCTTCAACTGTTAAAAAGGAAGAGATAATTCCCTTCGCAATAATATACCGGTATGCACTAATTCAGATAAACCATCATTGCGACCTAAGCATTAAATATCCGGCCAATTTTAACGTGATTGGCAAAAATAAAATGAAAGATTTAAGTTTAGGAATCAACGTTAATATCTAATTGCTTTATTGTACCTATTCCTATTCCAAACCCCCCGCAACTATTAAAATTATATTCCCTTGCAAAAGATTAGTTTTAATTTTCTAAAATTAGGAGGGTTTAAATTTAGGAATCAACATTAAAATCTAATTGCTTTATTGTACCTACATGTAATCCCCCCTTAAACTATAAAAAAAAGATAACTCTCCTTGCCAAAGGCTGCTCTTAATTTTTTATTTTAAAATTGGAAGGATGTAAGTTAAGGAATCAACGTTAAAAATCTAATTGCTTCATTGTACGTATTCCAAATCCTCTCAACTATTAAAATTATATTTCCCCTTGCAGTAGATTAGCGATAATTTTTTCCCCTTTCCTCGGGGTGGGGGGGGGGGGTGTTGGATTGTGCGTGCCAAGGCAGCCGAAGCCCAGGCTACAAACCCTGCTAATGGCACTGGTTTGATTGATGGGGGTAGCGATGAGAGAGTGTTTGCTCTGACCTCTAGAGAAGGAGCTTTCTCGTCTCCGCACCACAAACCGCGACTCCGCACCACAAACCGCGACGAGGACAGAGGCTCAGCGTATACTCACCCATGCATACATCTCAAACCCTCTCCTAGAAAACAAAAACGATAGAGAGAGAAAAAAGAGATATCAGTTTAAAAAAAAAAAAAAAGGGGAAAAAAATGGCTAAGAAGCAGTCTCGTATATAATGCATGGTTGCCTTGTGAATACAAACTCTGGTTGTCCGGGCAGATTTTAATCTATTTTCATCCCCATTGTTTGTGTTGGGGCGGCTAGTGGATGTGGGGGCCAGAATACACAATGTGGCTCAGCTTTAATTTTCCCGAGTGCATGTTTCAAGTATGCCCTTAATAATCCGGCTCTGTCAACTAGTGCTTCAGGCAGCCAACGCATTTTCTGTATTATATTATGTTGAAATTGTTGCCATTATACAATGGGAGGAATGAATGGCTGATGGAAAATGTTAAATGTATGATGTTAATCAAGTTTGTCAGGTAAATTTTGTTACCACCCCCCCCTCCCAAATAATAAAAACTACCCAAAAAACAAAAACATGATCAAAAGAAAAGGGGTCGGAATAAAAACCTACAAAGAACGCAAGTGTAAATAATGTATTTAATATTATTCTCTAAGCCAAATGTGATACAAAATGAATTTAAGAAATATAATAAATTATAATGTGTTCCCTTGTGAACATTGTATTTTTTCCACCAACCCTGTTTGTTTCAGGTATTTTCCAAGTACTTACATTAACTACGTGTAAATGTAATTATTGGAAAATGATTTTCAAAATCTCAAGTTTAATCTGATGTGGTCGATCAAATGTAATCATGTATACATGAAATGTCCTTTGTATTTTTGGAATGGGCTATCCTGAAGGAAATTTACACAAAAAGACCCAACAAATTCTTAAGCAGTTGTAGCAGTGCTGGTAAATGAAAATCCATGTTATGCATTGCAGCAAAAATGAAACCGAAGCAACAGTTTCTGATGACAGACCGAGATAAAAAGACATCAAAATGTGGCTTTTTTCTCTGTTTACAAAAAGCTTTGCGCTTCATTTG